ATGTTTTTTTTTTTTTTTTTTTTTTTTTTTTGTCTGAATATCTCACTTATTCAGTCTCCGCCTCCTCTCTCTCTCTCTCTCTCTCACACTTATAACTAACAAAATTACAATGATTCCAGGTTTCTGGACGAATCGCCACGCTGGCTGATCGTGCGCGGCCGACATGACGATGCGCTGCGCATCCTCCGCAAAGCTGCGCGCTGGAACAAGGCTCAGCTGCCGCCCGAGGAAGAGCTGCGCGCCCTCATGGACCTCATCAGGAAGGAGGTGACTGGGCCTTGACTGAGGCTGAAGAGTTTGTCATGTTTCTGTTTATTTGTTGGACGCTTTCAGAGGCAATGTGAAGCTTGCTTTGCGGGAAAATGCATGTGTAATGGAAATATGCTGTTTGTCATGTAATGTACAAATCACGAAGGAATACAGCACGTAAGATAAGAAGGAAAAGCGAGAGCAAAGCTGCTCGTATTTTAAGAATATCGTTTATTATTAACAATGAGATAATGCTGACAGTAATAGATGTAGCTTTAATGTCACCATGCCTTTTGCTCGATTTTATTCAGATGTGGCATTTCCATTATCTGACTGTACATGTCAATAGCATCCTAAAATTCCGAAATTTTCAAGCGATGCATACTTGTTGAATATACTGTAGCGATCTTTTCCGTCTTGATAAAAAAAAAAAAAAAAAAAAAAATGCTAACATGGATGTCACTGGATTGGAATTTTCTTGTACAAATACTAGAAGCAACTCATGCAATTTTACAATGCACATTTAGGAATAATTTCGTTTCATCACAACCCATTTATGTTAATAAGCATAACGTATTTGTGTGTGTGTGTTTCACATTTTATAAACCGCACTGATGTTCAACAGGCACTGACTGCGTCGACGGAAAGCGCTGCGTCCTCCTCGGGGCTTGTCAAATCCTTAAAGAATATAATGGAAGACGTTATTGTGCTTGTAAGGTGAGTCTTGCTATTCCAATTTCACCTTGTGCTGGCAAATTTGATGTGATGATTATAATTGTTGTTAACAACTGTGGCGATAGCTTTACAGTGTCATACTAACTACGTTTCTGCACAAGTATTGCCACAAGTATTCTTATTTATATATTTTATGTACAAGACCACAATTATACATTGTGCAAATGTCGGATCCTATTTTCGTGCAGATATTCTTGAGGCTGCCATGTGGTTGAATGAGTATTGTATTAGCGTAAGGAAGAAATGTGTGATAAAAATCGAATGACTCTTGGTGATGGAAATGCATTTACACCATGTATGTTTTAAATGAAAATGCTAATGATTTGCATGGTGGAGTGCTTTAACCTGCATATGGAATATGGAATCGTCAGCCATACTTTAAGCATGCATTAAAAAGTATTTTCAGTTTTTTTAAGTAGGTTCTGAAAAAAATTGGATGATAAAAAGCCTCTAGCAACAACAAAGCTAAAATCATTACTGTTGTCTGAAGCTGGCATGAATATCCGAAAGTACGCTTGTTTTCCAGAACGAGGAGGATGCGCAGCATTACGCTGTCGTTCTATGCCCAGTTCTTCGTGCTGGGAATGGTCTACTACGGCCTCTCGTTCGGCGCCGACAAGCTGGGCGTGGACCCGTTCGTGTACATGGCGGTCAGCGGGGTGATGGAGGTCCCTGGCGGCACGCTGACCATTCCTCTCGTAGAGAAGATGGGCAGGAGAGCCTCGAGCACGCTGTTCTTCGTGATCACCGCCGGCTCGCTCTTGGTGCTCGGCTTCATCCCAGATGGTACGTATCCTGTAGCTCTAGGTCAGTTGTTACAGCTACTTCCATGGACCATAAATAATATCGAATGAATAACTTTTATTCACTCTCAGCCTTGGAGTGGCTGGTGATTACAATGGCCATGCTGGGTCGGTTGGCTATCTCGGTAGCCTTCCAGGTCGTGTACCTCTATGCCAGCGAACTCTTCCCGACTGAGGTGCGCGTCCGAGGGCTCGGGACTTGCACGATGCAAACAACGGTCGGCGCCATGCTAGCCCCTTTCATTTTGGAGATACTGGTGAGTTAAGGATCTCGCTTGTTCTTATTCAAAGGATCTTGTTTGTTTTAATCCCAAGAACACCTTAGAATTTCTTATCTGAAAAAAAGTAAAGAACAATGAAGGTAGTCTTTTTTCTATTTCAGATTTTTTTTTTTTTTTTTTTTTTTTTTTTTTTTTTTTTTTTTTTTTTTTTTTTTTTTTTTTACTTGAATGTGGATCCAGGATTTTTTTTAATGATTGCTTCAGTTACCTTTATTACCTTGTCGGAAGTATGCACTTCTTGAGCGCTTCGAGCAGGATAACTCAAAAACTTGGACAGATTCTTAAATATATATATTCTTACTAGAAGTGTGTCTTAGTCCACATTAAATGCCTTTAAATTTTGATGATGATCCGGATCACGGTCCGGATCTAGAATGTTTGAAATTATTGCATCAGTTACCCCTATTGCCTCGGCGAAGGTATCATGATAATGATAGAAATAATTATTATAATTGTTATTATCATAAATATAATTATCATTAACACCATTATCATTTTCATTATCAGTGATATTATTACTTTTACCTCTACCAAAGAAGGTATGTTTTTGGTGGTGTTGGTTAGTTTGTTGTATCTTAGCCTAACGTGATGGTAATCCGAATCATGATCCGGATACCGGAAGTTCTTATCATTATCATTATCATTGTTATCATTATTATTATTACTAATATTGCTGTTGTTATCATTCTTATCATAATCATTATTTTTTTATTACTATCATTATTGTCATTATTTTGTTATCATTATTACTATGATTTTCATTATCATCATTATCATTATTATCATTATTATTATTATTATTATTATTATTATTATTATTATTATTATTATTATTATTATTATTATTATTATTATTATTATTATTATTATTATCATTGCTGTTGCTGTTATGAAGATGATGATGATGATGATAATTATTATCATCATTATTGTTTTTATCATTGTTGTTAGTATGGTAATAATAATGACAATAATACTTATGATGATAGTAATGATAATTATTATTGTCATTATCATTTGTTGTTAATTTATTATTATATTGTTATTATATTGTTATTATTACTATTACTATTAATTATTATATTATTATATTATTATTATTTTATTATTATTATTTATTATTATTATTATTATTATTATTATTATTCATTATTATTATTATTATTATTATATTAATATTATTATTATTATATTAATTATTATTATTATTATTATTATTATTATTATTATTACTACTACTATTATTAGTAAGATTATTAGTATAATTATTGTTATTATTATTATTATGATTATGATTATTGTTGTTGTCGTTGTTGTTGTTATGATTAACAGTATTTTTATCATTTTTATTATTATTATTATTATTGCAAATATTATTATCACTATTATTATACTGTTACTATAAAATGTTATTATTATTGTTAATTATCATTTACTATTCATTCATCATTGCTCTCATTAGCCTGATTCCCACAGAACCTAATTGATTATTCGTAGCTTTATTGATAATCTGCCCATACAATTTCACTGTATTGTATCATCAACTTCTTCACGCAATTCAGTCAGCGCTGGCAGAATAATAAATTCTTTGGTGGTGGTAAAAATATCCAGAGTTCAGTTTTCGTTAGTGACTTCTTACAAGGTCAGCAGCATATCAGTAATTGTAGGCATATAAATTCAAATATACTTTCCATGTATGAGTTGTCAGTGGTAAATAGAAAATTAAAAAATCATTGGTGGCATGGTCATACTCAGACAATTACGATGTTCATTTTAATAGTAACATATTGTTTTTACAAATGAAAAAGCTCTAGCAGGTCTCACTAATGACTCATCCTCAACTTAGGAGGCAATCCAAGATACTCCTGATTATTATATGGTTGATATTTATTGGTCTTTGCAGTAGTACCAAAGTCGCGTGGCCAAGGCGATTGCCAAGTGGATTGTTTATAATAATGAAATATATTTCTATGCACAGTGTCTCGGATAAAGTGATAGAATAGATGTTTTTTTCTTAATTGTGGTTTGATCTACGCAAACAAAAATGTCTAAATTTTCTTTCTCATTTATTCTTGTATTTCTATCTCCGTAATTTACGTGTCCTGTATGATTCAAGGGCTCCATCAAGTCATGGGTGCCCCTGTTTGTGTGCGGCGTGGCAGCCTTCGTGGCCAGCGTGACGACGTTCTGGCTGCCCGAGTCCCGCACGGCGTCCATGCTGGACACCGTGGCCAGTCTGGAGGCCGCTCACAGCGGGGCCAAGGAATCAAGGTAGGAATAACGCACGAGTGTGTGTTGCATGTTTTTGTGCATGCGTGTACACCATCGCTTGCCAATAAAGCAACATATACCGAGAAGTACAAATATGAAATAAAGAGAAAAGGAAAATATATGTTAATGTTTGTATGCATTACACATATGTTCTAAAAAATATATATATAATAATAAAAAAATAAATAAATAAAAAAATAAACAAATAGATAGGTGCATTTCGATATCAGTTTATGCATGGACACACACACACGCACGAGGACGCGCGCGCGCGCACGGCGCGCACATATACTCTCTTTTCCTCTCTCTTGGAGCTGGAGTGACCCGACCCGGGAGGTATGCGGGTCGTGGCTGCTGCATATAAATAGAAAGACAGATAAATAGATATATGCATAAATATGTGTGTGCATATATATATAGATATGTAGATAGATCGATGTGTAAATATGTATACTATCTATACATATTGTACTGTATGCACATTTTGTTGTTAAGATAGAAATTAGCATTAACCAGTTACATTTCCCTCCTCTTAGGGCTGCTTCGCTGGACCGAGAGATGGAGAACAAGGAAACTGACGCGCAACAAGCATAGAATGTTATTATTGTGGCAGGTATACATCTCTCATTCCATTTACAGATCACTTCTAATGCATAGCGGTATATAGTTGGATAGATAATAATACTTATACAGAGCTATACATATATACTTACATACACAGAAACATTTAATTAAGCTTACATGTCCACACACACATGCATATGTAAGTATGTATGAATGAATATATAAATAAAGATCACTGACTGCCTGTTTATGCGATAGTTCCTTCTGTATTTAGTCCCCTGTGACCTTAGTGAGTAATATGACATAAAAAATACCATAGACAGGTGATTCCAATGTAGGGGTCTGTAAATGGGATATAAACAGAGTAATACAAATTTGTGATGGTACAATATTATAGTTAGTAGAAGGGTATATATTATATATATATAGATATAATAGTATAATATATAGTATTATATATATTATATTAATATATAATTCTTGATCAAGAAATATGTCTTGATAAAATATGTAATATATATAATTAATTTTTTTGGAATTGTTCATGCTCTGACAAGGACATTTCTGGCCAGACAGCTAGCTTACCAGCTAGTTTTTATATATGTACACACACAGCTATATCTATATCATCTTATTATATTCTATAAATTTACATTCTACCTATTCTACAAACATGTAAGATTATAATCTTGCATATTTGTCACATACTTATCTTCACACATACATATACAATGTAGCGGACGCTAAGATCATTCGCTTTATCCGCTTATTCCCTTTCTTGCCAACACAAGGACATGTTGTGGCTGATTTATTCCTTCCGCAAGAGCTCACGTATTGAATGTAACACTTGCTGTGTGCATAACCGGTTGTCAACACGCGTAACATGCGGTGACTTATAATACTATACTATCATACTTATATATATATATTATAGTATACCGTAGTATACATACTATACTATATATAATTATATAGACTATATATATATCTTACCACTATATATAACTATACTACGATGTATATATACATGCCTGTCATATTATAAAATCATATGATACTATATATAATCATACTATATATAGAATATTATATATATCATATATCAATTACTACTACCATTATGTACATATATGGTTACTATGTTATGGGTAGTAGTATAGGTAGTATACCATATTACTATATAATATATATATTATATAAAGTGTATTAATATACATATAATCAATGTATATATAATATTATAATATATATAATATTAAAATCATATATATATATATATGTATACATAATATATAATATATAGCGTATATATATATATATATATATATATATACATATGTAATACATAACTACCATATACTATACATATATACTATATATATACATATACAATTATAATATATATTATACTATATTATATAATATACTATTAGTATATAGAACCGCGTAACTAGTACAGTAACCCATAGGAGGTATCCCTATTACGGGGTAATCCTCGTGATAATGAAGAGCTAAGGGGGGATGTAATTTATGATCTATAGTACCGCTTTAGATAACTATGCCATTATAAATCGTATCGTATAGCGATGTGACTATAGTATCATTATATATTATTATTACGGTATATAATATATATATAATATACTAATATAAATATATTTATATTATGTCGGTATTACTGGAATGCTAGTATTAATAATATATATGATAATATATTAGCAGAGAGAGGGAGCAAGAGAGAGAGGAGACGAGAAGAGAGAGGAGAACGGGAGAACGAGGAGAGAGAATTGAGCTTGAGACGCTTGGGCTACCTCCTCGTGCGGCGGGTCTCCGTCCATCGCTCAGTGTTCGAAAACTACTGCACGGGCAGGTGGGAGGTCAGTTAAATGGTGCATACTACTGGGATGGATATTTCATTTGGCAGGCCTGAGGGGAGGGGAGGATGTACCAACAGTAGTTCTGATGAGATGTGCGTATGTTGACGCTTGCGGCGTGTGGACTGCTTGGGAGCGCCATACCTCTGATTCTGTATTTCGCAATGAGTTTCTGACGTCTGCAGTCTTGTTAGTCTCCTGTGGGATATCATGTTCCAAGGAGAGCGTGTGCCGTCAACGGTTCCCGGTGCGGAGTAGGGGCGTACCCGGACACCAGGATCTGGCATCGCAATGGCGTTTCACACGAGCGACACAATCAATTTCGTCCGAGATTCTCGCAGGATTTTACGTAATTGCACACACACACGGACACACACCACCACACACCTACACACGAAAAATACGAAGTATCCAGCATCTCTCAGTACAGATTCCAATTGTGTGGAGGGTTGACTCTCACACGAAGGCATCACACTACCATGACGCCGTAGATGGTATTTGGCTAAACAGCATCCGGATAGAGATTCGAGAACTTTGTGTCATGTGCAGAATTATCTGACATCGCTTTCACCCACACATGGCACACACACACACACAGACACACACCACACCCACACACCACCACACAACGATGTCTACGCCGCATACGCTAGAGTGTCTATTGCGCCCTCATAGCCCGCCTCTCTCCACCCTCCCCCCCCCCGACTCCGCCACTCCCACACGCCCAGCGACCCCGACCACCCGACCTCCGCCCGCCACTACTCCTCTCGGATGGCCCCACACGACACACCCTACCCCGCCATCCGCCCCTGCTCACACGCCACCACACCACGACACACATCACACGCATCCTCACCCGCGCGCAACCAACACACACACCCCACACAGCGGTGTACCACACGGACCCATCACACACCTACGACGCACACCCAACACCCACACCATACTCACACACCCGAACATGGTGCCTGACGACACACCAGGAACCGACCACACTATCTACCTACCCTCTACCGCACCCACCCCCCTACCATCAGATGGATGAAGGCTGCATAAAGCTAATAACTACGCGGTAGTTATGATGTTCAGTATAATCTAGCTTACCTTATGATGGGGAATCCGTAATACTACTTATCTGGGCGTCCCACAGCTTCGGCCGTGAATCCCGCCCCACCCCTCAATTAACGAATGGTATTATGATCCGTATTGGCGTTGAGCACAAGATCATAAACTACACCTAGGACGTCAACACACACTAGCGCTGACGACAGAAAACGGCACTACAGCCCGCCCAGTTGGTAAGGATCCACAACACACACACACACACACACACACAACACAGACACACACACACACAATTACGACACACACAGTATTGGCAGAAACCACAAACATGGACAACACACACGCGACGATCGTGAGCAACATCACACACATTACACACACACCACACTACAACACATTCACGCACAAATATATAAACTACTAAGGTATAAATATATTAGATACTAGATTTATATATATGATGTAATATATGATACATATAATATTACGTATATGTATATATACTCACTATATACATAATAGTATAATATCATGTAAATAATATATATACATATAATATACTAATATTATTCTATAGATATATAATATATATATGTATATAGTATATATATAGTATAGTATTATATATAGTATATAATACAAGTATATATATATATATATAAATAACTATACGCGTATATAAACATACATACACACACACACACACATACTTACGTACATATATCTATATTATAGTATATATATTAGTATATATAAATATTACTATATAGTATGTATAGTATATATAGTATATTATACTATACTTACATATCATATATAACTATTATTATATACTAATAATATATATAATTATATATATAGTAATATTATATATGTGTATAGTATATTATATGCGACACTGTAGGTAATGATAGTGAGTAACTATAGATACTGCTGGTCATCATAACTGCACTGTTAAATACAACACAGTGACCATAGCAATACTCATAGGGATGAACAGCACCAAAAAGCAGACGGAGTGCGGTGCGGATCTCCAAACCACACATCACAGTATATAGCTTACGTACTATACGTAATAATATAACGTAGTAATAATATATACTAGATAATACGCTAGGTAAGTTATGCTCTAAGATATCACCATAAACATCACACATCCACACATACAACCAGCACCAACATACATATGATATATACCTATATTCTATTATAGTAAGTAGTACGGATCATAGTGTGCCGCTATATTATAATAACTAGTATTATAATACTATACATTACTATATATATAGTATATAGTATACTATCACCTGACCTACTATACGCACACACACCGACATATACGCACTACATCACTACTATAGAATATTATCTAATATTGAACCCAGTACTCTTCATATATATAGTAGCTCAGCGATCATATTATAGTCTCAGTAGCTATCAATCATCCGCGCCTTAAGTAGCTTTATCGTTGGTGATTGTTGATTTGCGTATAGTATCGGTAGTAATAATCGTGAAGTGATCAAGGTGTTTCGACAGATATGCTTTGATCCTAGTATACGCACTAGAACCCTTGTCTTGCTGCTGGGATACCTTCAATGCGTGCTCCATAACGTTCCGGCCATGCACCGGCCAACAAGGGGGATCTGAAACGATCTGACCACCTGTGACTTGCGAGGCGAGATGGCTGTGTCTACCAGAAGGCTGGTGGGAAAGGTCGGTGTGGCTACGAGAGTTACGTCATTCGCTCAAGGGGCCTTGGTATGGCAGGACGAAAGGTCGAGTGTTACCACTAAAATGGGCCCTAGGCCTACCTCCTACTGCAACAAGCTCCTAATCAAGGACTGTTCCTTGTCCTCATCGTGAAGCAGGGACCTGTCAATGCGGAGTTTCTGCGCACGATGAGAAGGTATGGGTGGCAATCCCCGATCCCCTGGTTTTCGGAACGAGTGCCCGCAGCGACATGCATCGTTGTGGCTATCCAGTGTGGTCAGTGCTCCCTGCGAGATAGGAAGATTCCCTGTCACTGCTCTCTCTCGGCGCGTACCACGACAATCGTATCTTGAGGCTTGGCTATCAAGCGTTTTCAACACACGCACAACAACAACAATTGCAGCACATTCAGCACGACGGCATACAGCAGGCCGCGCTGCTCGTGGAGAGCTTTGACGAACACAATACACACACCACACAAGAGCGGTCGTTGTGTCGAGGTTACATATATTCAGGCTGATACGACATCA